GGTGCTTGTACGCGCTTGTGCACGCGTGCACGCACACACACATGCACGCACACGTGCACTCACACACAGTATGTGGGAGACAGAGTCTAGCCACCCTCTGCCTGTGTCAATTCAGAGGTGAAGAATGGAGCATGTGTGTGTTTTAACTATGGTCATAAAGGGAAGGAAATTTTCCACTGGGTCTTGGGTGAGGGATTCAGCAAGTGCCTTGTGGTGAGGAGAGGGGAGGTGGTGGCAGGCTGGCAGGGGGAGTAGCTGAGGTTGGGGAGGGGCATTGCTGATGGGCTAGGAGAGATCTAAGGGGTGGCTGTAGTGACCAGGTCAGGCCAAGTTGGCAGCTGAGGGTGTTTGTGTGACCTGGGGTCACCCTTTTTAGAGGTTTCCTGAGACACTCCCCCCTCCACACTCCCCCCTCCAGACACACCCTTCCCTGTCCCCCAAGGAGCTCGGTTCCTGGCTTTGTGGATTGCCTAGAAGGATCCTTTGGTTGCCTCAGGCCGGGGAAGGCCCTCTTCCCTCTTCTGTGAAGGCCTCCACCCAAAATCCATTTGGCCTTTTCCTCCTCAGTCCAGTTGGTGACATTCTAGCTGCAGAGTTCTGATTTTGTTCAGCCAGGCTCACACCAGTGGGTCAGAAGCTAGCAGGTGGAAAATGGAGTGTGGGCATCACAGCCCAAGTCCTTCTCTGCCTGGGAGGGGAGGCTGGGTGCTCTGGGAGCTTTTGTGGTTCTTGTAGGGCAGAGGGGGGGGGGGGGCTCCTCCCTGCCCTGTGCCCTTTGCTTAGAGGTTCCACCTTGGAAGTCCGCCAATAAAGCCTGGAACTTGGAGCCAGTGGACTGGGCTTCCAGTGGGGACTTCTGGACTCAGCCGAATGCTTACCCTTTTCTGCATAGGGTCCTGCTGGGGATCTGGAATGCTCCAGACAATTTTCTGGCATTTCTATGATTCACCCCGCCCCCCCCAATAACTCTTTTCTCCCTCTTAATAAACTTCCCAGAGGAAAGCTAAGTTATCAAGAAGTACTCAAACCCCAGAACATTGTATTGGAGGCGGGCGGGGAGAGGAGGGAGGACAAGGGAAGGGGAGACAATAACCCAGAAACAAAAAAAAGAAAGAAATCTTCCATGCTCTGGCATGGATCCGAATTTGCTGGGCCTGGGTTTGGTGCATGCACTAGTTGCAGGGATGAGATAATGCTTTTAAAAATGGGAGGTGTGGGTGTGGGCCTCTGGCTTGTTGACCTCCCGCAGCCTCCACCCACTGCAGCCCGGCCTGCCTCACAGCAGCCGTCTGCTGCCAGCAGGTGGCTCCAAAACTGTCCCCGCTTAGAGTCTTTCTAGTTTCCAGTTTGGCTTAAAGTTCTGCCTGTCATTTCCTTAAAATAAAAAAATAAGAAAGAAAGAAAAGAAAAGAAAAAAGAAACAAAATGCCTACTATGATCTTACCATTCAACACTGGAACCCACTTCTAGATGCACAACACAGCCCACCCCTTCCACTTTCCTGTTCCAGAATCTTCCTGGTTGTTTTCTCTTCCTGGCTGGGTGCTGTGTGGCCTGGAAGGGTACAGAATGTCTGGCTTGGCTCTCTCTACTCCCTCCTCTTCCCCCTTCCCCAGCCTAACCTCTCCTGTCTCCTTTATCCACAGGTGTCTTTTTTTCCCTTTTCTTCCCCAAAGCCCAGGGGACCAGTGCAGCCTTCGGGGTGAGGAGGAGTTAATAGGTGTTTCTATGGCAACTCTGGGCCTTGCACCCTATCGAAGTGTTTAGGAGAAGAATAAAGTACACGCTGGCTTAGAAAAAGCGCTGTGGGGTAAAAGAAAGGAGCTCAGCAGCAGCCAGGACATCTGTGGCCCCCTCCCCACCACGCAGGGCCTCACAAAACTTTGACTCCGGAGGGGCAGAAGGAGGCCACTGGAATGAAGGAGGTAGCCTTCGCCAGGCAGATCCTGCTCTGGCAGCTCTATCTAGCCCAGGAAGTAATGGGCAGTGCCAAGGGCTTTCTGAAAGTTGGTGTGTGTGTGTGTGTGTGTGTGTGTGTGTGTGTGTGTGTGTCTGCCTGCAGTGAGTGTAGGGTTTATGGAGAAGTTTGCTTTGAGGGAGCAATGGGGCTGTGGGATGGAGAGGCAGGGCTGCCCCTGAGTCTGTGGGGCACTTGAAGTGGGGCTTTGCTTGGAAGACAAGTGGCTGCCTGGATATCTGCCGTGTGTGTGTGTGTGTGTGTGTGTGTGTGTGTGTGTGTGTGTGTGTGTGTGTGTGTGTGTGTGTGTGTGTGTGTGTG